CAGCATTTAAATGTGAATAAATCTTTTGTGTCTCGTACCATCGTTAGCTACCGTTATACTGGTAGCGTAGCTCAACGTCAAGGAAGGGAACGGAAGAAAACAGCCACACCTGCAGAAATGATTCGAAAAGTAATGAAGGGACTTGATTGAAACCCCCGACGCAGTGGCCGATCGATGGCTTGTGAGCTGAACATATCGGAATATTCCATTCGGCAAATATTAAAAAATGAGCTTACCCCCATTGAAATTCCAAAAAAGTACAAGAACTTACCCCGCAACAGAATGAACGAAAATAGACTCAAAAGTGGCCGAAAGTGGTGAAGTGCCGAATTTGGTTTTCTCCGTAGAAAAAACTTTTGTTGTCCAGCAGTTTGTAAACAAACAATATGATCGTGTTAACTTGCCAAAGAGGTCAGCTGAAAATGTGCACCTTCGGCCATGGTGATGGTGTGGGCTGCCATAACAGCCGATGGTCACTCTCCCCTCGTTTTAATCGAACGTGGCATTAGAATAAATGCCGAATATTATCGCGAAAATATTCTGGAGGGTGTATTAAAGCCTTGGGCACGCAAACATTTCTTTTTTTTTACAAAATGACATTCCTCGCTTCAATTCCAGCGCACAGTGACCACCAAAATCTCCGGATACTAATCCGATGGACTATCGTGTCTGGAGTATTTTTGAAAGAAAGGTTGTCACTAAAAAATACCAAAGTGTCGATCACCTCATTGGCCGTTCAAAGGTGACCAATTTCAACAAATCTGAACTTATTTAAAATTTGATGCTATTTCCAACGTTTTTTGCTTTCATTCAGTAAAATTAAAAAAAGTGTAAAAATTATGGTGTTGGACTTTGGTGCAGTTGTTTTTTTTTTTTTTTATCGCAACCTGTATATTTTTTTACAATTTTTTTTTTTTTGAAATATCGCATGAATTTCTATATTGAATTGTACATTTTGTCCTATATTTGTTTTTGAATTCATATTAAAAAGTGAAGCACATCAAAATAGTATTGTATACTATAGTAGTTGTGACTATAATCCTACAATTGGTGCTCCTTCGATCGGAAACTGTGGTAGAAATATTCAAAATAGCGATGGTGTAATTATATGGTGACTAGATTTAAAACGGTACAACAATTAATGTCTTAAATATTGGGATCTTTTTCATATGCTCTAGAGACTGACAGACAGATAGGCATAGTTCAATCGATGTAGAATTTTACACTCTGTGTCTTATGATAGACTGATGGACAATAATTTACACGCATTTTGTGGTTGTAGTCATAAAATATAAGTTAATTTGGTCTGTCCTTTCTACATTCTCAGAATGTTTTTTAAACCTTTCGAATTCAAACTTACAGTCCATTACATTGGAAAACACTGCATAGACTTTATAATGCAAATAAATGATATAAATCGTCGATAAATAAATGTTTTTTGGTTCATCCGAACACTTAAAACGGATCGGTACTAGAAAATAGCAGTAAATTATTTATACTCAGAAATTTCTAACGATTCCGTGAATGAAACTACGCAAAATATAAATTAATAAGGACACTTAATTGAATTTAGAAGGTGTGATATAGATGTTCATTCAAAATTTCATTCATTTAACATGCACAATGCGCCTCTTGGAAAATGACTCAATAGACGATATAAATAAACAACAAGTAGAAACCGGACTGACCGATTTTATGATACCCTACATTTACATTTATTTAGTTGAGCTCCACTTAATAATTAAAAGTTTTTATGGGAGAATTCAATCATACACGCTATGATTATAATTATAATTTAAAATTCAAAGGACTAAATATGCCGAAGCATTTGTATATTTTAAATTCGGACTTGTATTGCCCATTTGGTGCGAAATTAATTTGAAATCGGATAAAAGCTATACCTGAACCGATCTTCACCAAATTTGGCATACTACCTTCTAGACTAAATTCGGTCGTATGTGCCAAATTCCATCCGATTTGGACAAATATTACACGTTTGGTGCACAATAAATGGTAAATCGGACGAAGTTATATATGGGAGCTATATCCAAATCTGAACCGATCTCGATAAAATTTAGCAAAGGTATTTCTGAGCTGCATTTGATATATTTCCCCAAATATTGTTGTTACAGAGTGCATATTACGGCTGCGGAGGACAAAACTAACAAATCGGATGAACAATATATATGGGAGTTATAGCTATATCTGAACCGATTTCGATAAAATTTGGCATACTTATTTTCAGACCTAATTTGGTTGTATTCCATACTATTCGGGCTGATATTACACGTTTGGTGCACAATAGAAGGCAAATCGGACGAAGATATATATGGGAGCTATATCTAAATTTTGACCGATTATCTCCAATTTCAATAGGGTTCGTCCTTGGCCAAACAAATGTTGTTTGGAAAATTTCATCTCAATCGGATAATAAATGCGACCTGCATTTTGTCCACAAGAATACATGGACAGACGGACGGACGGACAGACGGACTGACATGCATAAATCAACTCAGAAAGTGATTCTATGCAGATCATCAAAAGGAACTATGGGTCTATCTCGTTTCCTTTTGCCTGTTACAAACAAATGCACAAGGACATAATACCCTGTCCACCTTGTGGTGTAGGGTATAAAGAAGCTAAGTTCGGCACGACCCTCCACCATTTCGAAGGAAATTGAAATATTTCAAAAAAAAAAATCCGAAAACTACTGAATGAGAAAAGAAAACCAACCGAACGGTTTGGCTGCTGATTCAATTCTAATTTTATTTAAGGAATATGTTTCTTACGTACTACTGAAACTAATCTAACTTAACCTAGTCGCAGCCACACAATTGTTCTTATCTATTCTAATATTGAATGGAGAACATTGCAGGGCTGCTTTACATTTCATTCAAGTGATCTTGTGCATCTACTGAGCGCATCGATATCTGTGCGTGTGGGTCATAACCTTTATTATCTGACACATTATCGTATGCGTCAGCGCACAAGATCACCGAATTCTTCACATGTGATATTTTATGGCGGCTGGGAAATATTTAATTTTAGAAGATTTATTATTTATTGCTGAATTTTCCCAGCGCCTCAATCGCACTCAAAAGTATGTACAAAGTATTTTGTACAACTACCACTTAAATAAAAAACGTTATATGGGGACTATACGAAGACGTGGACCTGTATACGAAGTTTATTGTCATAGGCTGTAGTGCCCATTGCTAACTTCAAATACGAAATTTGTTGCAATTACGGTGAATAATGTCGCTAAAAACATGAAAATACAGAGTATCGGGAGGTACCGAAGACCTCCACAGACAATTTTCTGTCTTAGGTTGTAGTATGCATTAGGATCTTCCAGAAGAAAATTTGAAACAATTCCGGTGAATAATGTTGCTGAAATCATCAAAATACCGAATATCGGGAGGTACCGTTATATGGGGGCTAGACGAAAACCTTAACCGACATGGCCCATTTACGAACTTAACCTGCCTACTGGTAAACTATGCATGTATGCAAAAAAACATCAGTTATCTTAAACCACGAAAGCCGGCAGTTTGATAAATTGACTGCAGCTCAATTCCATTTTTGAAAAACTATATTCGTTTTTTTTCAAACAGAAATGGCATTAGATTGCACCTTATATGGTTTAGACAATTCAATTTAATTTTAAGATTATAATCAAAGAGGTCCCAGACGACAGTAATTCCAACTTAAATTAGTACAATAAAATAACTAGTTGCTCAACTCCCGAAAGTTTTTTTGAAGAAGTAAATAGCATGAATGATTATTTTCAAAAACTAAGATGTTTTTATGAAAAACGCATACGGTGGACGAAGACACACTGTGGCTTCTGAAAAATATATATTTTCCGCCGAGCACCATTGATAACGATAGAAGAGAAAAACGCGAAAGAAGCAATACCGTCAAGAGTTCTTCAATATTGGCAAGGATGATTTCTATACCCCGGGAAAAACTGGGAGCCTTATGCTAAAGAGCAGATGGATAAAATTAGAGTTACTGTTATGAACAGTATTCTAATGTGAACTAATGTGGCAATTGAACCAGTCTACTAAGCGAATGGCGTTCTAAAGAAAAAAAAAGAGAAAAATGTCTTTACTTTAGAAAGACAAAGCCGAATTTTGTATAAAAATTTGTTTTTTTTTTTTTTTTTCAAAAAATCGTTATTTTATTACGAATGGGAAACCCTTTTCTAAATCACTCAACAGTCACCTTTGGAAGCAGCAGTATTTGGAAAACATTCAAAGAACGAAAAAAAAAAACAAAAAATAAACAGATTTTCGTTTTCCGAACGAGAACAGTAGGTACGCATTGGATTTGTGATGTTAGTTACCTAAGGATTTAAATGTAGATATTCCGTTATCCTTGCAGAACATAAACATTTCCATCTCCCAGAAGATTGAATAGAAAGTGCAAATGCTGCAAAAGAAGTAAGACTCCTTATGGAACATTGAACGGAATAAGTCATGGGCGATGAGTTGAAAACACCCATCTCAATAGGGAGAAAATATTTCAAGCATTAATATTTTTATAAATGTGTTAATGTACTTTTCGGAATATCTTTGTATCTTTTTTGACCTGAAAATAATTGTAACCATATCAAATTCATCTGACAGACAATTAAGTACATAAATTCCAAAAGACGCATCTTAGTATGAATATCCCATTGCAATGACGGGATAGTAAATTATCTTTATGTTTGTTAGCAAGGCGAAAAAAGGAACAAACAGCTATATCTATGAGAATGTCCTATGTTTAAGAAATTGAAAAAAGTATTGACACAAAAGCAAAAAATAATGTTAAAACTAATTAATTTGTGGATTAATTGCATAAAAATGTAAAACATTTTATTAATGCATATGAAATACGAATTATATCAACAACTTTTTAATTAACAATATTTATGTGTATTGGACTTTAAAAGAACTTGAAGGCAAGTTTGAGAAAAAATACAAATAAGATGATTGTTGGGTCAGCGTGCCGACGGTTTTATATTTAGTTATTTTCGTTTTGTTTCTACATTAAATTAAATTATATTATTATTTATATTGGGTTAATTTATTCCATATTATTTACTTTCTATCAATTCCCATTTAAATGTGTTTATTTATTCATTTCGATCCATATTTATTTATATTCTATTTATTTTAATTTATTATTGTGTTTAATGTTCATTTTATCGTTGTTGCACTGTTCACGTTATCTATCTTTCGATGCTTTCTGTGCCTATGTCGATCATAAGCATAACAAAGCATTCGATAGGGAATGAGTGTTTTTTATTTTGCTTTGATCTCTAACGAGAGTTAGAAACCAAAAGCATCAATACATATAAATGTTTGTACATATGTGCATGCATGCCTATTTGAGCATATACATATGTACATTATCTGTTGTCTCGTCCTCTTCGTCTGTCTGTTTTTTGTTCAATAAATATTGTACTTCGAAACATTGAACCACCAACTTCTTTTAATTTTTTTCGCTCCCTTTTTTGGACTTCGGTTTTACACTGCCCAAGAATCTTTCTGCAGTGCGGGTTTATTTAAATAAAATAATTAGAACTCCCTGCCGGTCAAGAAAACTCTCTTGATCGTACATTTTGGCGACCGTGACAGGACAGTGTAAAATTTGTCGCAAATTATATCGTTTTTTGTGGATTTTTTGGAAACTAATTTTCTAAAAAATATTTTTGGCCCAAGCCAGGTGAAACAAACATTGTTGTTGTGATCAAATTACATCAATAATTCTCGTGGTTATTCTTTGCAACCAATTTATCGTGAAAAATAAACATTCTGTCTCAGTTTATTGAGCATAAAAAATTAGAAACAGAAAACATTATTTCTCGTGGTTATCGTTGAAAAATAATATAACAATTATTTAACATACTGTACTGGTCCAAGCCATACGTATACAGTGTTGTTGTGATCATTGAAACTGTCTAACTTTAATAAAATCAAACAAATTGTCGTTTTGGGGCAATTTAAATAAATATTTGTATACGACAAAATTTCGTGGTTCTTCTTTATAAAAATAAAACAAAAAAAAAAAACTTTTTCAAAGAAAAATTGCACTGGCTCTACGTTATACATATGCAAAACATTGTTGTTGTGCGGATTTTAAGCAAACCAAAGCAATTTATGTTGTGAACTGTATGCAAAGAATCTGTGTCAATCGAAGGTTAAAATTGCGTAAAACAAACTAAATAATTTTGTGCAATTATAAACAATAATACAAAACTCAAAAGAGTTCGAACACATTGTCGTTGGTCGATATTTATCAAATCGACAAAAATATTAAGTTGCAAGGTTAGATAACCTAAAACCTGTGTGATTTTGTCGTAATATTTTCGCCATTTTGCAAAATCATGAGTTTGGACGATTTGAAACAACAACGCGCCATTACAAAAAAGAACATTTCCCGCATTAAAACTGTGATCGGCGCCAACGCAAAAGGTGAAGGCAAATCACTCTCTGCCGCAGAATTAAAATGTCGCCTGGGTATTTTGGACTCATATTTTAAACAAATTTTGTCGGTTCAAAATAAAATCGAAAACATTGACCCAGACGACAATGGCCGTGCTGACATCGAGGATTTGTATTGCTACATCAACTCGCAGATACAACACCAACTGGTTGAGGACGGACATAACACAACTTTTGCGGAATCGTCGTTTGCTATCGCTGTCCCCTCAAACAAGCTGCCACGACTGAAGTTGCCTAGCTTCAATGGCAAGTACAGTGAGTACAAAAACTTTATAAATTCGTTCAAACAAATCATCGATCGTGAACATGGGCTTTCGAATATTGAGAAATTCAACCATTTGCTGAACTGTCTCCATGGTCACGCTCTAGAAACAGTGAAAGCATTCCAAGTGACGAACGAAAATTATCCCAAGGCTTTAGAACGGCTGAAGACACGCTATGACAATAGCACCCTCATATTTATGGAAAATATTTCCACTCTTTTCGATCTGCCTGATGTTTCTAAGCCTAGCTCTGGTCAACTAAGAAGCCTTGTGGATAATGTTTCAGCCCTCTACAGTTCACTTCAGTCTCTTGGCTCGCCCACTGATATTGTAAATGCAATGCTGATCCATATTGTGATGGGAAAAGTTGATAGTGACACCAAAAGAAAGTGGAAAGACTCCTTGGACTTTAGCAAACTTCCAACATGGGAGGATTGCTCTAATATTCTCGAAAGAAGATGTCAATACTTGGAATCATTGGATTCAAACACAATTTCTCGTCGACAAGATCACCATTCTGGTAAATCTAACCAAAAATTATCGAAACATGGTTATACTTTCTCGTGCTCCAAACGTGTTTGTGCCTTCTGTTCCAAATCTGATCATTATATCGCACAATGTCAACGCTTTAAGGACTTAGATGTACCAACCCGCTTCGAAAATGTAAAGAAATTTGGTCTTTGCATTAACTGTCTCGCCAAAGGTCATCAAGTCACCAACTGTCCCTCATCGTTCAAATGTAAACACTGTTCTCGCTCACATCACACAATGCTCCATCGTTCGCAATTGGATCAAGGTCCATCCTCTCCTGAACCAACTCCATCGACATCTAGAGCAGCTGCAACTGACATTTCTGCTTCTGTTCACGCCCATATGGAAAGTTCATCGCCTCATGTTCTTCTCGCCACAGCTATGGTTTTAGTTCGTGATAATTCTGGCTCATACAAGTTAGGAAGAGCTCTATTGGATTCTTGTTCACAACTAAATTTCGTCACCGATGAGTTTGCTCAGCGTTTAAACCTACAACGAGTGAAAAAATCCGTCGAAGTGTCCAGCATTGGAAATTCCAGCACGAAAGTCAAGCATAACTGTTCTACAAACATAAAATCTCGCATTACAGACTTCGAAGTTCCGCTTTCGTTTTGTATTACGCCGCATATTTCCTATCAACCTGACTCGGAATTAGACGTTACTTCGTGGAATCTACCTCCGAACACAGAACTTGCTGATGACAACTTCTACAAATCAAGGAAAATCGACTTGCTCATTGGTACTGAAACATTCTTCGATATTTTGTCTGTTGGTCAAATCAAGCTTGGTCCTAATCTACCCAAACTACAAAAAACTTTGTTTGGTTGGATTGTCACTGGGAAATACAATTCTTCAAGAGAAAACAACTTTGTGTCTTCGTATTTGCTCTCAACCGAGGAAAAAATCAACATGAATTTAGAACGTCTATGGAAAATTGAGGAAATTGATGCTGCCTCAACTCAAACTACACCAGAACAATTAGAATGTGAAATATTCTTCCAAACCACAGTGTCCCGAGAATCTTCAGGTAGGATTGTTGTAAAATTGCCCTTTAAACAATCTTCAGACTCCCTAGGTCTATCACGCAATAATGCTTTGCAACGATTTGCTGCCCAAGAAAGACGACTGGCACGAGATGCAGAACTAAAATCCCACTATTCTGCATTTATGAAAGAATATGAAGATTCTGGACACATGAGCCTGGTGAAGAAGCCTATTTCGGAAGAATCACACTACTACATCCCACATCACTGTGTATTCAAGCCGAATAGCACCTCTACGAAACTTCGTGTTGTTTTTGACGCCTCTTGCTCTACGTCCTCGCATACATCGCTAAACGATATCTTAATGGTTGGTCCTACAATCCAAGAAGAGCTTTATTTGCTGCTGCTTCGTTTCCGGCTATATCGTTTCGCAATAACCGCAGATATCGTCAAGATGTACAGGCAAGTTCTAGTTGACCAACATGACCGTAAGTACCAATATATTTTATGGAGATATTCTGAGCAAGAACCAATTCGAACATACCAATTAAATACTGTCACCTATGGGACATCTGCTGCACCTTTTCTCGCCGTGCGCTCTTTGCACTACCTCGCTGATGAATACATGGAAAATTTCGAACTTGGCGCAAGAGCTATTAAAAATTCGTTCTATGTGGATGATTTTCTTTGTGGCGCTGAATCTGTTGAAGATTTAGCTCAACTTAAATATCAGGTGACAGAAATATTGAAAAAGGGCTGTTTTGAATTGGATAAATGGCACTCCAATCATGAAAGCTTTCGTCACGACAAAACCATTAAATATTTAAATCTTGATGACTCGTCAGTCACAAATGCTCTCGGTATTTCGTGGGATCAACAAAAAGATCAATTCTTGTTCTCGTTTTCATCGAAATTCAAAATTGAAAATGTTGTTTCTAAACGCTCAATCCTGTCACTTTCGTCTTCGCTTTTTGATCCACTTGGACTTTTGGCACCTCTTATCATAAAGGCCAAAATACTACTTCAAGAACTTTGGATACTCAAGATTGGCTGGGATGAATCTGTCCCGCAAGATGTACACACAGCCTGGCTACAATTCGTCAACGATCTTCAATCTTTATCGTCACTACATATTCCTCGCTATTGTTCATCGCCTAGTCCAGAATCCATTCAATTACATGGCTTCTGTGACTCTTCAATTCGTGCTTATGGCTGCTGTCTCTACATCAGGGTGAAATCCAGCTCAGGCCAAGTTTCCTCGAAGCTATTTACTGCAAAATCTAGAGTAGCACCGACAAAAAGAAAATCGCTACCGAATTTAGAACTTTGTGGAGCTCAACTTCTTGCAAAATTGTACTCCAAAATACAACATCTTCTCAATATCCCAAGGCATTTTGTATTTTTATGGACTGACTCACAAATAGTTCTCCACTGGCTCAAACAACATTCGTCGACTCTGTCTGTATTTGTTGGAAACAGAGTTTCTGAAATACAAGAGCTTACAAATGGTTGTAATTGGCGATATGTACCATCGAGTTTGAATCCTGCAGATATCGTCTCTAGAGGATCCACTATTGAAGAGTTAAGATCCTCAATTTGGTTCACTGGTCCGGATTTCCTCTCCAGGGAACACGAAAACTGGCCTCAAAGCAGATGCGATGAAATCGACCAAGACGTAGTGGAAAAGGAGAAACGAAAAACAACACTTCATCTCCAAGTGCAACTCAACAATATCACTGAGTTCATAAACAATTGCAGCTCATATCTAAAGATGGTTCGAGTTGTAGCATGGATCTTCCGGTTTTGGCAAGGATTATCTTCTTCAAAAACTAAACAATTTGTTTCTGACTCTTTACAGCCTCAGGAATTGGAGCACGCTATACTGGCAATCGTTTGGCACATTCAACAACAACACTTCAAAGATGACATTGTTCGAGCTGCAAAGAAGAAAGATCCTCAAGGCCCGCTAAAGTGTCTCAACCCATTTCTTGATTCTTCAACAGGCATAGAAATTCTAAAGGTTGGAGGCCGTCTTGAATTAGCAGACATTCCTGAGGCTCAGAAACACCCTATAATACTGCCGAAAGACAACAATTTTGTGAACTGCTACATTCGCCATCTTCACATCAAAAACTATCATGCTGGTCCCAAAGCTTTGATGTCATTGACCCGAATGCGCTTTTGGATAATCAACTTACGAAGTCTTTGTCGAAATATTGTCAACTCTTGCCCTCAATGCATTCGATATCGTCCAAAACTACTTCAGCAAATGATGTCCAATTTGCCTGCAGATCGACTGAACCCATCAAGAGTTTTTGCAAGATGTGCGGTTGACTTTTGTGGCCCTGTGAACACATATCTTCGGATTAGAGGAAAGATTCCCTACAAAACTTATATCGCTGTGTTTGTCTGTCTCGCAACAAAAGCCGTCCATATTGAAGCTGTTTCCGACTTGTCAACAGATGCCTTTATCGCAGCTCTCAAAAGGATGATTGGTCGAAGAGGTCTTCCAACAGACATCTTCTGTGACAACGGCACCAATTTTGTGGGAGCAAACAACAAACTGAGAGAGTTGAAAAACTTTCTCTTCGATAACAACCACCAAAACATAATCACAAATTTTTGTTGTAATGAATTTATTAATTTTCATTTTATTCCCCCTAGGGCACCCCACTTTGGTGGCCTATGGGAGGCTGCCGTCAAATCAGCGAAAGGTCATCTGAATCGCACCCTCGCAAATACCCGTTTGACATTTGAAGAGCTCGTTACATCTCTAGTAGAAATTGAGGCAATTTTGAATTCTCGGCCTATCTCACCGATGTCTTCTGACCCCAGCGACCTTGAAGCTCTTACCCCTGGACATTTCATCACTGGCAGTGCGTTACGTTCTCTCCCAGAACGAGAAGTCACCACAAACAACATCAACAATCTGAAGCATTGGGCCCAGATAACTGCCATAAAGCAACGATTTTGGAAAAAATGGGCACATGAATACATTAACGAACTTCAAGTGCGAAGCAAATGGTCTACTTCTAACTCGAATATCACAGTTGGTAGCATGGTTCTGGTCCATGAAGATAACATCCCTTCTCAAAAATGGCTGTTGGGCAGATTGGTCAACATTATCCCTGGTAGAGATGGAAGAATCCGAGTTGCCGATGTAAAAACTACACGAGGAGTCATTCGTCGACCCATCCACAAACTCGCATTATTATTTAATTGAAAGAGCCCTTTCAATGGGGCCGGTATGTTGGGTCAGCGTGCCGACGGTTTTATATTTAGTTATTTTCGTTTTGTTTCTACATTAAATTAAATTATATTATTATTTATATTGGGTTAATTTATTCCATATTATTTACTTTCTATCAATTCCCATTTAAATGTGTTTATTTATTCATTTCGATCCATATTTATTTATATTCTATTTATTTTAATTTATTATTGTGTTTAATGTTCATTTTATCGTTGTTGCACTGTTCACGTTATCTATCTTTCGATGCTTTCTGTGCCTATGTCGATCATAAGCATAACAAAGCATTCGATAGGGAATGAGTGTTTTTTATTTTGCTTTGATCTCTAACGAGAGTTAGAAACCAAAAGCATCAATACATATAAATGTTTGTACATATGTGCATGCATGCCTATTTGAGCATATACATATGTACATTATCTGTTGTCTCGTCCTCTTCGTCTGTCTGTTTTTTGTTCAATAAATATTGTACTTCGAAACATTGAACCACCAACTTCTTTTAATTTTTTTCGCTCCCTTTTTTGGACTTCGGTTTTACACTGCCCAAGAATCTTTCTGCAGTGCGGGTTTATTTAAATAAAATAATTAGAACTCCCTGCCGGTCAAGAAAACTCTCTTGATCGTACAATGATAAAGAATTTTTGAAAGATAAATTGATGACCCTATTGAATTAACATTTAGCTTTGACAGTCATCTTCAGGAATATTTTACAAAAAATACAAACATAAAAAAACAGCTAGAAACTACCATTCGGTTTACCGCCTCATATTTGACCATAGCATTTTAAAATATGCGTATATAGCATATTTTCTTTTCGTGGCAGATATAACGCGTCTTCAATAACGTCAAATTCACTTATTGTCAGGATGCTCTTAAAAATTATCTTTCCTTGAGAAATTCTAAAAAATCCAATCCCTTATCAACTGTTCTTGCAATACCAAATATTTTGGTTGTCAAAGTTTTGAAAAATATGCCTTACAAAAAAGTATAATCACAAATATTACAAACTGGCTAACCCGGTCCGCTTTGCTGGATGAAGAATTTATGAATTTTTGTAAAATTAATATATTTGAATGAACTTGTAAAATAATCCGGCATTCTATACAAAATACTTTCGTAGGAGATTCTTGTAAAGAAGAGTAAATAAGATGTATTGACACTCTAATAAAAAACACAAAAAACAAGGGCAGATATGGCCTATTTATCTATTTCGGAAAAGAGAGGAAAAAACCTCGAAAAGTCGAATAAGATAGGTAACCAATTTCAGGAGCAAAAACAATGTAATTTTTCGACAAATGCAAATGAAAAAACTCATTGATTTATTGGAAGATACATAAAATACTCTCAATTGCAAACAATCAAGGAAATCTGGCTCTGGGTTGCTGGCCTCTTTACTGAAGCTCTCAAAGTCCTTCTTCCATTAACAAACTTTTCGGTTGTTAAACCCACTGCGACTCAAAGCTACCAATAATGAAACTGATGATAAGCCTATCATGACAAAGAATAAAACACAAATAAATCCTTCCCATAGAAGTAATTGTTTATTCTTACGATGATTTATATTCAGGGAAGTATATCAGTCCCCGTTTGGGTATAGCCCTCAAATAATTCCACTACCTGACACGCGCCACTTTGCATATATTATAAACCACCATTTGATATTTGTCCCATATAAATGTTGATATCCGGCACATCACTGATCCCAATCCCGATTTCCGAAAAAAGGCTTGGGTTTTTATTGGACGAACATTTGCTATACAAAAATAAACGGCCCATGCTTTGATATAAGCTCCACATAGATGTGTTGGTCAATTAAGGATCGAAGTCGCAACTTCCATCTTATTGGGCAATAATTTAATTTTCTTCGTTTTTTAAAAGATATATTCAAACAAAAAACAAAAACTATTAAAAATCTACAATTCAAAATTGAACGTCAAGCTGGAAAAATCTGATGCGTTATAAACATTTCGCAAAAAAATATAGGACAAAATGTAACAAAATTATTCATATTTTCACTAGCATATTTTTACGCGATTTTAACCTTTTCTGTGAAGAGGCTATTCTAAAATGGTGTGAAATGTCAAAATCAGTGCAGAAATTTTCGAGTTATAAATGTAGTTACTAACACACTTTCATAAAGATCTAAAAATAACAGTTTATACAAAAAACAAGTAAAGAAATCAGTAAGTTCGGCTGGGTCAAACTTTGAATACCCTCCACCATTTGGAACGAATTAGAAAATGAAAAAACGAAGACAATTCCGTTGAAAAATGTGGCTAAAATCATCAAAATTCCGAGTATCGGGGGGTACCGTTATATGGGGCCAATACGATATAGTGGAGTAAAGTACTCACAATGAACTTTTTGTCTAGAATTGAAAAATGTGGCTAAATCATTAAAATACCGAATATCGCGGGTACCATATGGGGGCTATACGATATATATATATAATTATCTTCCTTGTGTGGATTTTCAGACAATTCCATTGCAAAATGTGGCAAAAATCATTAAAATACCGAATATCGGAGGGTGCCGATATCGTGGACCTATATAGATAATTCTCTTCCAGTGGATAAAGTACTTACAAGGAACTCCTTGTGTGCATTTTCAGACAATTACATTGGAAAATGTGGCGAAAATCATCAAAATATAGAATATCGGGGGGGATGCACAATATCGTGGACCTATATATTCTCTTCTCTTTCAGGGGGTAAAGTGCTCACAATGAACTCCTTGTGTGGAATTTCAGATAATTCCGTTGAAAAATGTGGCTAAAATCATCAAAATATCGAATATCGGGGGTTCCGTCATATGGGGGCTATACGACATCGTGGACCGATATAGCCCATCTTCAAACTTGACCTGCCTGCAGACAAAAGACAGATCTGTGCAAAATTTTAGCTTCATATCTTAATTCGATTTGACTGTACCGTGATTACAACAGGCAGTCAGACGAACGGAGAGGGCTAAATCGTCTTAGAATTTTACGCTGATCAAGAATATATATACTTTGTTGGGTGTAAAATTAGTTACAAACGAAATGACGAACTTAATATACCCTCCATACTATGTATGGTGGAAGGTATAAGAAAACATTCAAAAATGTTGTGCTTCAGGTTTATAAAGATTATGTGTTCAATTTGATTAATATTAAAAATGCTACAATTTTATATGTAACACCAAGGTAGAATCAAGGAGGTAAAGGTTTGCAAACATATGTTTACAATTTTTTCAAAAATTATTCATTTGGCAACATTTCATTGTCAAAATTTTTATTTATAAATCCAATGTACATACACAAATCAGAGATGGGAAACTGTTTTTATGTAGAGAAATGTGACAAGGTAAATTACAGAAAATGCAGAGATGGGTATGCTTTTTTGAAATCACCTTCTTAACTTTACCATGTGTAACACATGACATTGCGTTGATTTATTACAACAAATTTTGTCTTGAATTTAGTTTTCACAATTCCTTGTCGAAACTTTAAAAATGTTCATCCTCAAATTTATAAAGCTTACTTTCTGCTAAATTTACAAAGAAAAAATTCTTCATTCCATTTGGATTTTTTTAAGAAAATTATGACAGCGCTACTACAATAATCATTTCTTATCAAAAGGGACTGAAAAAGAATGAGTTGCATTTAGAAACTGTGTCTGGGGGGCCGGAAGACATTAATCGACTGTAAAGTTACAGCACAACAAAGCCATATTTCCTTTTGACGTACAAACGTATGTATGTATGTATGTATGTATGCATGTATGTGTGGATGTTTTGTGTGAAATACAGCTGTGTTCGGTGTTTC